CAATACGAGCAGTATTAAAGTTGCGTAAGTCCCGCCACATGCATTTGGAGATCTGTTTGTTCAGTTGCCTGTATGCTGTCAAATCTACTGAAGACTGCAGCTTCATATCCCGTCTAACAGCCATGAGAGTAAGAGTGTGATCGGAGAGTTTTTGTGTTCTTCTGCGGCAGATCTTGCAAAACTTAGCTCCGACCGCATGGACAGTTTCCACGAGCTTGACGTTCATATCGTCTACTGCATTGCAATCTTATAGGTACTAAAAACGGTTTCGTAGCTCGAGCTAAAAGGTTTCGGGACTTTGGATTAGTGCACGAGGATGACGGAGCGTTGACTTCATTAGTCGTGACCTCTCCAACTTAACGTTTACGTTCAGTGTGCCTCTCACCATTCGGTGATCGCTGCCGGTTTTCACACTCACGATCACTGAGACATCACTGAACAGTTGTCATCTGGTCGTCATAATGAAGTCAATCTCATTTTTAGTCGAACCGTCGGGGCTCGACCAGGTCCACTTCCTGTGGGGCCGCTCCTGTAAGAAAGAGTTCATCATAAACAGTCTCTCTTTCTTCATGAAGTCGGCCAGCTGCTGGCCCCTTGGTTTCCGTTGCCCTATTCCGAATTTCCCTACTTTCAGCTCACCGTACTCTCTTGTGCCTAGTTTTGCGTTGAAGTCTCCCATTAACACCGTATAGTGTGTTTTGGAGGAATGCATGGCTCTAGAGATATCATCATACATTTCCTCCACCTCCTCATCGGGGTGTGCCGAGGTACGTGCGTAAACATGTATGACCTTCAGCGGATACCGTTTGGTGATTCTGAGTATAAGGTACGCAACCCTCGACGACACACTCTAAATACAACGTTGTTAACGAGAGACTTGTGGACGATAAATCCGACACCTCTTTGGGACAGATGGTCGCCCTCCCGGTGATAGAACAAGTTGCTGGATTCGAGAATTACCACGTCCTCCCCCTCTCTTCGGACCTTGGATAATCCTATGATATTCCAGCGCAACTTGTCTATCTCTTCTTCCAACTCCAGGATCTTCTCGTCAGTCCTCAGGGTGCGTGCGTTATAAGTTGCCAGGTAGTGTCTTCAATACTTGATACTCCCTAATTTGCTATATTGTAGAAAGCTGATATAACTGTGATTTGTGGTCTATAAAATCTTGATAGTTTTATGGATCTTTGTGTTTAGAGAAACAAAGAGCAAACAAAAAAAATGCAGGAGTGAATGTGGTCTCTCTGATCACATTCACTCCTGCATTTTCTAGAGCGATATTATATTTAATGGACGGCAAGAACTGCCCGCACCCACTCGAAGCCCGATTCAATATGTAATTTCTTGTCTGTGAATTCTCTGACATATGGTAATATAGCAGGCACAAACTAGACTGTGGAGAATTTCAATCGGTTCAAATAGTTTACGGAGATAAAAACTTTAAGCTAATCTTTATGTTTTCTTCATTTTACAAATTATGCTAAATACGAATTTGTGATTAGCGACTGTAATTACAGTTTACGCTGTTTACAAAATAAAGTAAAGTCACAGCCTAAATATGCTCCACGGCCTCCTTTCATTTTTCTCAGTATACTACAGTGACGTACCGGCGCGGAACTTGTTGTCGTGCAATACTTGCAAGACGTTCTGGAGCTCGGTGGTCAAAGCTGGTGGTGAGATTCACCGTCGAGAGGAACAACGTAGTAGTTACATTACTTCTATTTGATTGTGGTTTAAACGAAGCAACAATATTAATTTCAATTATCAACAATTTATCAGATTATAGAAATTTGACGGTTCGATAGTGGTTTGGGTAAAAGTTTGTCTGTGGTGCTACACTAACGTTATGGTTCTATTGTCGTATTTTATTAATCCATATTTTGTTAAATTGCTAAATAAATTTTTAGCATATGAAGAAAAATTTACTCAACTAACTCCACCAAGTTAATGCCATATTAAAAGGTAATAAAATCATTTCCATTTTAACATAAACGTCAAAGCTCTGTACAGGATGTGACTATTACACAAACTATTTAAGTTATTTTGGCGTAAATTTTAATGATAACAAGAGGTAAAATTAAAAATTTTGTACAACCGAGTCTAGTTATGCAGGGTTTTGAGGACGTTTTAAAAGTACTTATTTATTAATTACAAGTGGTGAAATGAAAAATGTTGGACAACCAACTTCAATATAAATAAAATGAGAACATTATCAATATAGTGGAATTCCATTAAATACGCATTATTAAGAATAACTCAAAAAGAACTAGTCAGATCTTGATCGAATTTATAAGGGACCACATGAAAAGCACCACCTTTCAAATAAGAATCATCAAAATAGGTTAACCTAGAAAAAAGTTCTATAGTAATACACATAGAATATAAAAATATAGTCGAATTGAGAACATCCTCTTTCTTAAGTCGGTTAAAATTGTGATTTATCCAGTCTATCTCCTTTAATAGGTAACTTAATGACTAATTATCTAAGTGAAAAATGTGACCAAACGTTGTGACACTAATAATCAATTGATCCGTAAAACTGTTTGTGTTTATCGACGTCATATCACAAACTTAATGTCATGTTAACTGTTTCTCGTCACGTCGCGTTCAATAACCTTTGATTTCATATGGTGAGTAAAGAGAACCGGAGACCCTTTTTACTGGAAATGAGGCATTCCATCGTAGTCGTCACGGGTGACAAAGAATCTGCATTTTGATTTGTAATAGAGGATAGATGTAGATATCTATGGGCTGCAACGACCACTTACCATCAGGTGGACTGTGTGCTCGTTTGTCATCCTTATCCTATAAAAAAAATATAGATTGTCGTTACCTATTGCATATGTTGACGATGATGGTGTGTGGTGGAAATGTGGTCGTTTTTTGCCTACATACTTCCAACAACTTAGTACCAAAATGTACTTCCTAGGAACAGCCTTCTGGCAATGGCATACGATAACCGTTATCTATTTTCTTCCCCTACATCAGCACGCTGGTACTCCAAACGTTGCAGAAGGACTTATTTTTACCGAACTTGAGCGCCTCGGGCGCAGTCTACTTGATTGGTAACTGCTTCATACCGTCGGCGGCAATGTACTCCTCCTCCTCCTCATACAATCTGACTTGGACTGATCTGACTGCTGACGTCGAAGAACTTGACGGGTATGTTCGTCGGCTACGAGGCAGTTCAATGCGGCCAGGTCGCGGTGGAAGCAGTTTTTGGACTCTAAGTAGCAAATAAAGGCTGCCAAGTTGCGGCCAATGACCAGCATCACGCACGTACCCAGAGCAGTAGCTCACGTGCGCAGGAACATCAGCAGCGACAAAGGAAAATAGCAGCTTAACGCCGCTGTGTTTCGTATGGTGAGTGTAGAGAACCGGAGACCCTTTTTACTGGAAAAGAGGCATTCCATCTTAGTCCTCACGGGTGACAACGCATCTACATTTTGATTCGCAAACGAGGATAGACGTAGATGTCTATGGGCCACAGCAACCACTTACCACCAGGTGGACTGTGTGCTCGTTTGTCACCCTATCCTATAAAAATTAAGATATAATAGCTTATAATTTAAATGATTATAACACAATCTCATGATAATTTTAAAGTCCACTAGTGTACGTAGGTTTTTTCAAGTACGCACCAGCTTGACTTAGAAAATTTACCCAATACCCATCATTCTAAATAGGTTCAGGCAAATCTTCAAACATATTATATATTACTTATTATTTTATCGAAACACTTGTATGTTGAAGGAAGAAAAAAGTTATGATGATAAGACAAAGATAGTGGTCTTTTACAAAATTTTTTTTTTTTATTTTAAGTACACGTAATATTTTATATTTAGACAAAGGTTTAAATGTTCGTTAAGTAAATTATATGCTCACCTGAAAGCTTCTTTACTTTATAATCGACTGTAAAAATATTTCTATTTACATTCTAGCTGTTGTCACAGTAGTGAACGATGGTTTTTAAATTTTCCGTGATGAAAATAGGGTACGCGTAACATCGTTGTAAAATTTTTGGACTTGTTCCAAAAAATAATGTGGAAGATTCAACGAAGGAGTTACATTGTTATATGAGTTTATTTATCTTTGTTGTTTGAAAAACTAACTTGAGAACAAGCTTAATTAAGATCTCTCGTTTTTATTTAATAGTTATTCTTTAAGATTGTGTACAGTGAAGCTCAATGGTAATTATCCATTAGCCACTATAAGAGAACGCCCCATATTTTTTTAAATGTTTTCAACGCATATAAAATAGTCAGTTCTATCTGTTACATTTACATTTTTACGTGGTAGAGCCATGCTGCAGCTATATTAGTGTATAGTTGTAGCACGAATGGGTCGGCTCGATCGGGGAAGAACCACGCTCTCGCAGAATACCAGCGTAAAATAGCAGTTTAACGCTGCTGTGTTTCGTATGGTGAGTGTAGAGAACCGGAGACCCTTTTTACTGGAAATGAGGCATTCCATCTTAGTCCTCATGGGTGACAACGCATCTGCATTTTGATTTGTAATAGAGGATAGGTGTAGATGTCTATGGGCCGCAGCAACCACTTACCATCTGGTGGACTGTGTGCTCGTTTGTCACCCTTATCCTATAAAAAAAACATTCTTATAATATTCTAAAGTATAATTTATTAAATTTTCCGATTAAAATTTTAGTGGACACTACATCATTAAAATTTAAACAAGATAAGAAATAATCTAGAATACAGAACGCTACCGCACTCGTGTCATAATATGCATGTTAAGCCATTTTTAATAGTGTTGTTACATTTAGCTATTTACATGCAATGATTTGCCAATAAATCCGCGTATACGTAGTTTAAGGATTGCCTTATATGGATATCGATGGCGAAGCATTGATGTCTTTAGAAAAATAAAAAATAAAAATTAAAAATTGTATGTATTAAAATGAATAACAAATGTACTTATATACACTATAACAATAATAACAGATTTATAAATTCAATAAAACAAAAGTGCTTTCTTACTGACTACTCGTAGACTTTTTCGATGTCAAAAGGATTATTAAAAATAAAATCATACACAGTTGGAGCACGCTTTTTTTGTATCGTTGATATATCTTCTTCGGATAACATATTTTCATGCCGTACATCGGTTATTTTGTTGAGTCCTGCAATAATTGGTTTTTGTTGTTCTTCAAAATCCTGTTTTTTCATGAATTTATCAAAATTTGTTTTTTCGGAGCTTATATTGTATATAGTTTTATCTAAATCGTTTAAATTTTTATTCAATTCCTTTTTCATTTGTTTTGAAATTTCAGCACTTTTTTCACTTTTAGTGATATCTACATAATTTTTTGATTCTGAATCTTTCAATATATCTTCTTTGCCTTTTTTGTATCCACCTCTTTTTGCTAAATAATCATCTTTTTTGCCGTACTGACCCCTTTTCGATTTATAATCAAAAGGTTCTTTTCTCATTGTAAAATCTGGTCTAGCAGCTAATTTCAAAATTCTGATTGGTTCCTTAAAATCATTACTTAGTATCGTACTGGAATCAGCAAATTCACTGTTTTGTTCGTTGCCAATAGCCTTATTACCTATTTTGTCTTTATTATTTTTAATTTCGATTGTGTGATTTTGTAACCCTTTAACTTTAAGAATATTTTGTTCGTTTTTATTGGAACTTTCTTCTTCTAAATACTCATCATATTTTCTATATTGGTCTTTTTTTGACTTAAAATCGAAAGGTTCCTTTGACATCGTAAAATCTGCTCGTACAGAACTTCTTAAAGGTTTAACTTGTTTATCAATTTCACTGCTCGACCATGTAGTTTCAGAATCCACAATTTCGACGTTTGATTCTTGTTTGTTTATTGCTTTATTTTCACCCTTGTGTGTTATTGAAATGTCTTTTAAAATTGCATTTGGTAGCTCAAGAAGTTGACTCATATCAGTTTTTAAATCTAGTGGAAAACCTGGTGTTAATACAGTGTCTAAATTGTATTCAATATTTGTAAGACGTCCACCTGTCGACGGTTTGATATATGGTGCTATAAAAACAAATATTTGAAAAGGCAATCCATCTCCTGCGCCCTTAGGAAGCACTAAGCGCTGTGGAAATCCTGTCTGTAATCCCATCATTTTTAAAGGTACTGAATTTATTCCGAATTCGGCATCATCCAATCTTTTCTTTATGATCTTTAATGATGTTAAGTCTTCAGATAGATGATTCATTTCAGTGGAAGTTCTAGTTATTATATTTTTACCTTTCTTTAAGTTAATTTCAAAACAATCGAGTAAAAAGAATAGATTTTTCTTATAGCTAAGTTCACCGGGTAGTACTTTTGGTCCTATGAATATTTTAGTAAATCCCTTTTGGGTAACTAGAGAAGAAATGTTAAGTTTTATTGAAAATGGCTTGTGGTTTAATCTATATTGCCCAAATTTTACTTGAAATTTCACGTTGTTTGTTGCTGTTTTAAGAGCGTCCGTCACATCAAACTCAAAATAGTCAAAAGATGTTATCATTTTCTTTATGTCTACGTTAACTATTTCCACTCCCGGAAAAATTAAATCGTTTCGTAAATAACCAGGTAAATCACTTAAAACGCGTTCTACTAAATCTATTATTTTCTTGTTTATTTTCCAGAATATTGGATCTCGAACGGTAGTTAAGTAGTGGGCTAACACCGAGGGAGACCTGCAAAATAATTCAAAGGGTATATTTAAATATATATTAGACCTACAACTTTATAATATATGGAACAACAGGTTAATGATTAAAAGAGCTAATTACGAAAAAAGTCGTAGAATTGAATTCGACATTTGACCATTGCCTTGATTCACTATTGCACAGGCATTTATTTGTTTTATTACTTGTCCAAATTATAACTATTGATAGATGCATTGCAAGTATTGCATGCGAGTATAAGTATTTAAAATGTTACAACAAAATAATGATTATATGTATGTTTTGAACAAATTCCCACTTGAAAATTGTTAAATGTATATTAAATATTTTATTTTATGGCAATAGAATTGTAGAAACTTACTTTTGCTCAGAAGTAAAATCATTTCCAAGAATTTTCAAAGCCACATTTTCATAGCTGTTTTTGTTTGTTACTAAAATTTGCATTAGGTGATTAATTATGTCTACCTTACTATATCCTTTTTCCTTCTGTAAAGATATGGATTTTATTATTATACAAAAAAATACACATATATGTAACAATGTAATAATGTCAACGAATAACTAACTAAAATACATACCATACGATTAGCTATCGTTACTATATTATTTTCAATACTTTGTAGGAACGCCAAATCTTCATTACTACCTGAAATTGCTGACGACCTTGGTTCGAAATCGTTTCCATTAGAGTAAATTAACATCGGATCATAGGGCGTTAACGATAAAGAATCCCAACTCAAATCCTCCAATTCAGGTAAACCGTTTGAGTATCTTTCTAAATTATATCTTGTTGCAAGTTGCTTCATTGTATAATAAATATGTTCACCGAATTTAGGTTTCAAACCCAAAGAAGTATTAAGCCATGGAGACATGTTTAGTTTTTGTAAAAAGTAAAATGAATTTAGACCTATATCTTCGTGAAAATATGATAAGGTTTCGTCACTAGTTTCATACAGGTTTTTAGAATAATTGGCATCTATAATATACGAATTTCCTTCTTCTCGAACGTTTTCCAAGTTAATTATTTCTTCATTTGCTAATAATAAAGAACCTTTGATTATAGCATCTCTATTAATAAAATAATTAGGAAGTACTTCATACGGAGGTGGAATTGAAACTCTTTCAGTATCTTTTCTGTTCAAAATTGCAAGGTAAATGGCATCAACGTAAACACCGCAGTTAATATTTTGACGCGCCCAAGCTGCTGCTTTGTAAAAAGTATTGAAATCTTTGGCAAAGTATAAGACCTCAAAAATTAACTTTAGTTCGTTGATATGGTTCTCGTTATATTCTGTAAAAATTTCATGTTTTGGTATGAAACCCTTTTCATTCTTGTAGTTTTGAAGATTACTAATTATTTCCGAATTCTGTAATAAATAATATATGATTTTAAGGAAATTCAATTATTTTTTTATAATTACTAAATAAAAAATACTTACTAAGTAATTTTCTGATGCAAAACCCTTTTCGAAGTCATTACTTAAATTAATGATACCTTGATCAGTGCTGGTTTCGCATACATTTTCGAATAAAGGCACTAGAAGCTTTTGAATATAAATCCATTCAAGTTTTGGGGTTGTACCTGTAAAATAGTAAAAGTGAACGGCTGATTTAGTTAGTTTGAGTCAATCAAAGTAAACACCAAAATTTTAAACCTTATATTAATAACGTATGTTGAAAACTCAGAGAAATTACTAGCATAGAGGAAATCCTTCTAAAAAATAACAATATTATTTTAGTTGAACTCTTTATGCTTATGGCATTTTAAGTGGTACAAAATATTTTCTCACTTTCTTCCTTTTACAAGGTTTTTGCCTTTTTTCCATTCCATAGACACCTCTATGGATGTGCCATTAGTGCGAAATAAAAAAAACTAGCTCTATAAATTCATTTAGTTTATGACATAGTAAAATTAAGGATTATTATTAATCCCGTTTATAATACTTATTTATGTCAATGTACGTTACTAGGAACTTTATCAGACATATTATACAACAAAAACGTAATCGAATAATGCGGAATTTTGCACTATCGTGGTAATATAAAATATATCGTAAATTTTCACTATGAAATCTACTTAAATACAGCCTGTTTATTACTGCCAAGTTATACCTAGACTTATTATTGATTTCACGGGGATAAGTGTCAATAAGCTTATACTTGTCATTAAAGCTCTAAGGGTAAGTTACACGCAACATCTTTCAATACGTACCTTTTTTTGACTCATTAGAAAATTAAATTAGAAAAAGCGAGACAAGTATATTGACACAATGAATCTCAAGCATCCACGACATACTACCAGGGAGGCACCACTTAAAAATGAGGTGTAATATATGACAGATTTCGTAGCGGGAAAGCTAATTTGTTCGAAAAATGTAAAGGTTTATTTCTGTACTATTAGTTACATTTTTTATATTAATTAGATTAAAAATAAATAAACCAAACCACATACATCATAAAAGTAGAAAAATTTAATATGAATTAAAATTTTTCAAAAAATTTAAGAGCAAACCACTGAGGCATTGTTTTGTGATAAATAAAGTACTCTAGAAACTGATATACTTTTATTTAAAACTAACATTTTAATTAAATGACATTGTATAATAAAAAAAAACTTTAGACAGCGTCAACTAGCGACATCTGGTGAGCGGAAGCTTATTAGCCCTCATTTATATGGAATTATAAATTCCGTCTATGCATACATATGTATGTATTTAATTACTCTTAGGTTAAAACCATCGAAAATGGTAGTTGTCAAAACCAGATGTGAGTCGTGTTGTGAAAACTATTACTACTTTTTGATTCTTCCAATTATTAATGTGGGTGCAGTAAGAGTCGACAAAGGGTAACAAACCAGGAGATGGGCAGAAGTGTATTCCTTATAACAACTAAAAATAAAAGAAAACTGCGGTTAAAGCGCGAGCCAATCGTTACTATGGCAAATATCTCTACTATGCAATCTATGTGGGATGCATATGCTCAGAAGTGAACTTTTGTGAACACTGGGTAATAGCAGTATTATTTTCAGGTTTTCGAGCGTCGTCCATTCATGCTTCAGCCAAAATTTGCTTTAACGTGAACACAGATTCGATGAAGTGCTTACTCATATATCATGTATACATGACACACTAAACTAGTTTCATCAATCCGCTTACTAAGTTAAGAGAGAATAAGGTAATTACACACGTACACAAACACATACATATGGTAGAGTCACAATGCAACTATGTTATGGTTGTAGCACGAATGGGTCGGCTCAAGCGGGGTAGGGCCACATTCTCACAGAATACCAGTGTAAAATAGCAGCTTAATGCTGTTGCATTTTGTATGGTGACTGTAAAGAACCGGAGACTTCTTTTTACTGGAAACGAGGCATTCCATCTTAGTCTTCAAGGTTGACAACGCATCTGCATTTTGATTCTTAATCGAGGATAAATGTAGACGTCTATGTGCCATAGCATCCACTTATCATCAGGTGAAATGTGTGCTCGTTTGTCACACTTATTCTATAAAAAGGGCATTTGCTCGTCACGTTAAGCTATAGACAGTTTAGAAGTTGATGCAGATGAAAGCGTTTTTTTTTTAAGTAAAAGATAAAAAGGAAGAATTGAGATCCCATATTTTTACTCCATCCTGTCATATTAGAATTATTCTATTTTATTAAAACTAATAATATTATTCAATACCTGATTTAGGTTGCCATGACGTAGTAGGGACCTTTATAAGATACCCAGTCGTCCCAATGGCCACTGTAACTATTGTTAGTAATGTTAACTTAAACATTTTTACTACACTGGTTCATTCTGCCATTCCTTTCAATATATATACTTGTTCAAAGGGCAAAGAATTTAGTAATTGTCATTAAAATTGAATGATAAGTGAACAAAGTTTAATGCACTACTATATTTACCACTAAATTGTTTGTTATGACTAATAATGTAATATTTCAATAACATCAAAAGTATAAGCGTTCATTAATCCACGTGAAATGACCTTTCCCTTATTACTTAAGTTTTTATTATCTTCGCAATAACATATAGTAAAATATGTATTTTATACTTCCTAATTAAGTTTACGTTCTAATTATATATTTCTGTAATAGCTATCGTGTTTGATAGATTAAAAAGTAAAGAAAAGTTGCAGCCTATTTACGTCTCACTGCTGGGCACAGGCCTTTCATTTCTGAGAGGGTTTTAGGGTAAGGAAATATCCACCGCGCTGCCCCAATACGTGTTGGCGAACTTCACATATCTTCGAAATATTTTTTTCGTGAGGGAAAACGTCGTGAGGGAACCTGCATGTATGAGATTTAATCTCATACATGCACGTTCCCTTACGACGTTTTCCTTCACCGCCGAGCACGTAGTAAATCAGAACTTAAAATTGCAATTAACAATTTCATTGGTGCCGGCGGGGATCCAACCTGGGTTGCTCGAGTACTGTGAAGCTTACAGCGAGCGCTAACCATCTGAGCTACTACAGCGGTTAGCGGCTTGTAAGATTTTGAATATGAATGATTAATAATAGAATATCATCAATCACCTCATTTTGGTTCGCAGGTGTCGTAAGAGGCGATAATGGGAAATGCGAGAAATTGTTTATGGTTTTATCTCGTTTACGCTAGACATAAGATACTGAGACTGTCTACAAGTAGCAGCGTTAAAGATGCAAGATGTCTGGAACAAATATCGTCAATTGGCCTCTCAAGTATGATGATTAAGACTAACCGTAGACTTATGAGGGCAGTTGAAGAAGAATAGTAGAAAATAAACCACTTATTTGGGAAAATATGACTAGCATTTTCGTTTATTATAAAGAATATAATAATAACATTGTTTTGCATCCAGAATAAGTTCCAAAAAGGGCAGTTAGAAAACATGTTTCGTTTCCACAGCTATTTATTAACAAAAATGTTTGTTAAAAGATTTTTCTGAAATATTATGATGATATACTATTGTCGCATAGCTGTTTAAGTGTTGATCAAATACATTAATTATGTTATTAAACATATGATCTTGCTAAAGGTGTTAAATTATAACAGTGAATGTTTTTTTTTTTATTGATAGCAAAGTCAACTAGAAGTCTAGAAGATCTTGTGATCTTGAATAGCTAGCTTCGATAAATAGGATAGCAGAAGAAATAGCTTATATATTCCAGATCTACTAGATCGCCGCCACCAAGTAACATTAAAAAGATGAGAACTCCTTCTGTTATTCCTTCCTAGGTAAAGCGCGCCGAGACACAAGACTTACTTTCCTGCAATTCTACATGCGCGACAGGCTCTTCCACTCTTCCTATTCCGTTACACGGTGGTCATGGGTTATGGAAAAACGAGCACTCGGAAGCAGCAGCCGTCCAGATCCCAGTGGCGGATCAGGTCTATGACTTTCCCACTGAACTCGAGTCAATAACGAAAGATGAGTGAATAATAGTCATGCCATCAGTCCCGGCTAAGAGAAAGAACCCTCCCACTTCAGATTCATATGACGTCAATAAGCCTACTTGGAGTGGCAACCTCGGACCAGCCATGTTTCATTGTCATATGTTTCATTGTTCATATAAAACCTAGTCCAACAATATGAGAGTTTTGATTTGATTGCGATGATTATCAAATTTAATTGCGATTTGTATTATTACCATGTGCCTTTCTTGTATAATAACGATCATGACTATACCAGTGGGCTCAACCGTTACTTACTCGTATATCAGTCATTTTATGTTGTAACATAATATTAAACAATTTTACAAAGTTACTAAATAAGAATAAATGATAAAATAATAAAATAATAAATGAAAAAAATGAAAACGCTAAAATAAAAAAAAATTAAATCTGGGATATTTATTACTTAGAAGTTATAGTTATTTAGTATTCCAGGCATAACTGATACAAATCGAAATTGAGCTACTGAGCCTAAATATACAGGTTAACTAATCACTGAAACAGATAATCATCAAGTTTTAACAAAATTATCGAACTACAGAATTGTAGGAACTTTAGGTTATTGAACTGAAAACTTATCAGAAGCATGTCACTTCACAACATATGATAACAAACCTATTAAAACATATTATCAGTTACAAAACTACTTGAGGTCATGTTAAATGATTTCACAATATTAAATACATAAAAAAACTCTATATTTTCCTTTTATATCAGTGAACCTGACCTAACGCAAATCTTTGTAAACAAGCATCACGTTATTATTCAATGAACTTGATCTTAATTCGTTATTTTCATATTATAAGATATTGGTTTAAGCATCTATGGTTTACTGTCTCTATTATATTGGAAAAGATACATTAGAGGATTATCGGTATTGCGAGGCGACACTCTACCTCGAATCCGACATAACCTAAACTTGTCCCGGCGAGGCGGGTATGCGTAGTTATTCCACAAGTAAAAAATAACACACACACACACACACACACACACACACACACACACACACAACACTCACGCCTGTCATCCAGAGGGGTAGGCAGAGACTACGGACTTCCATTTGGCGCGATCCTGACACACCTCTCTCGCCGCCTTTACATCCATATATCTAAGCATACACGCTCGTCGTTTAAGGGTATTCCTAATCTGACCCATTTTCAACGTATCGCCGATTTGGTCGATAAATCTTCGTCTAGGGCGTCCCTTTCCAACTCTGCCGTTCACTTCTGAAACATAAATTTGCTTTGTCACTCTTTCCTCGTTCATTCTTTCTACATGACCAAGCCACCGAAGCATTCCTTTTTTAATCCTGGTCACAACGTCATCTTGCAAACCACACTTTTCTCTTATCACCCAATTTCTCACCCTGTCATTCAGATTCAGCCCTAGCATACTCCTTAATGACCGCATTTCTACAGCATTTATTCTACTCTAATGCTTCTTCTGCCAGACCCAACTTTCACTACCATACATTAAAGTAGGGACTAACACAGCATTATGAATTGCCATACGTGCCTTCTTTGACACATTCTGACTCTATACAATAGCGTGCAGAGCCCCATTCACTCTATTTCCAGCGTTCACTCGTCGTTCTATATCCTTATCATATCTACCATCCCTGCTAAATAAACATCCCAAATATACAAACTCGTCCACTTGCTCAACCAACTTCCCTTCTATTCTTATTTTACATAACGTTTTACTTTCTTCTCTTTCAAAAACCATCACTTTCGTCTTAGTTGAGTTCTCTTTCATACCCCTTTCTTTTAATGACCAGTTCTTTAAAGTAACCATCATTTGCCGCCGACGATGCAAATATGACTCGATCATCGGCGTATAAAAAACATTTGACGGTTAACTCACCCATTCTCAACCCACATTCTACAACTTTCAAAGTTTGCAAACAACTGTCCATAGAGTAGACCGCGTTTATCCTGACACAAGCACTAGAGTCCCTTTAAAGAGACCTTAATGCCTGTATCAAACCAGCGCTCAACCCAAATGAGGTCAGTGTTTTCCATAACACCTTACTGTCCACTCTGTCATAAGCCTTTTCCAAGTCCATGAACGCACAAAAAACTTTCTGGTTTTTGGCCAATAATTTCTCCGCAATCATGCGCAGGGAAAAGACTTAATCCGTACACCCCAACCGTATACCTTCCAATAAAACTATCAAGCAGATCTACGCCCTAAGATGTAAAGTTTTATAATTGAACAAAATTAATCTACACGATAAGTGCAAAATTTTAAGTTTTTGACATTTATTACAATCATCATTACTACCCTTCACAAGTCCACTGCTGAACATAGGCCTCCTCCAAGGAATGCCTGAAAGCACGGTTCTGAGCCACCTACATCCATTGAATTCCTGCATGTCTTACCAGATCGTCAGTCACTCCACCTAGTGGGGAAACTCTACACTTAGCCTGGCGGTACGAGGTTGCCACTCAAGAACCTTTCTTTCCGGTTTTTCGAGCTATATAGCCGGCCCATTTCTACTTAAGCTTACTAATCCGTTGGGCTATGTCAGTTACTCTGGTTCTACTGCGGATATCCTCGTTTTTAAGAGAAACCCCGAGCCTCAAAAAACCCTCTCCCTAGCTCGCTGAGCGACCTTGAGCTTTCTCTTACGGACAGCAGTGAAGGACCGCGCCTCAGATCCAAGGTCATCATTGGCAACACGCACTAGTTGTTTATTACAATAATTAATAGGTAATTAATTGATTATTATATTTATAAATATAAAGTAAATATATATTACATTTATTGTACAACGTAATTTGGAACAAATGAGTCAGCTCGACCGGGGAAGGGCCACGCTCAAATAGAAATCCAGCGAAAAATTTGCTGCTTTATGTTTTGTGTCGCTAGTGTACAGAACCCGCGACTCTTTTTACATTTTGATTCCATCGATTGTTACTTTTATTACATAAAAAAATAGTTATTAAAAGTACTTAACGAGCGTGGTCATTTACAATGATGCGGTCATTTGAGGTCATCAGAGCTTCTTCGCTGTCGTAAGTGACATTGAGATAAAACAAAAAAGCTAAAGTCAATTAATTTATCAATAATCACAATTTATAAACATTTAAAATACACAAAGTTGAATCATTTAAAAGAACATAAATATATCAATAACTTTGACTTTTTTCAGAAGTTCTGATCTAAATTATACATATTATTTTAGTCATATCTATTAAACACGGATAGGCGTGTTCGTATTTTTATTGTATTTTTCTTGTATGTTGTTTGTAAATGATTTATGGCGAGTAAGCAAAGAAAAATTATCCCTTTGCAAATATTACAATACCAACAACCAGTAAGTAGAAATTAAAATGAATAT